AGGCATTGTCACTCAATAATGCTGAATTTTATGAGCGAATTTTCCATCGGTAGAGACCATCTTCAGATACATTAAAAAATAAGATACGCAACGAAATTAATCATATGCGCAGTGTTCAGTCATTAACATAATTGCTACTGCAAAGACGACTATGAGCCGGTCTCTTAGATTTGCACAAACATGTTCTCTTCGTGTACTTCCTATGTGGCACTTGTCTTCGGAATCTTCCTCTGTCTGAGTTTGCAGATCTTCGGACGATTCTGAACAAACCTTATTTGATTAGGCGATTTTTCTGTATAATCCATTTGACTAGGACAGTTACTTAATCTACTGCGGAGGTGCCCTTTATGTTAATTTATGCTGCTACTGTTTTTCCAGTATAGTAATTTCCATTGATCCAGTTAATGCTGCGAAAAATGAAACTTTCCCGTGGTTAGTCATGAATTGTCCGATTCTTATATCCAGATTTCTCTGGTAAGAAGTTGGGAATAAAAAACATTGCTCAGGTATATCTCAGGAATTTTTCTTGCTACACCTTTCTAACGCCGGTTCTGTTTCTAATTCATTCAAATTTGCTCCACTGTTCCTATACAAATATCGTGTTTTGCTTCTGTTCACAGCGGTCCTTGATCCAGTGATCGCAAGCTAATAAGCCTAATGGCTGCTTCTTGTACAGCAGCTAGAGTGAGGAAGAATGGAGTTACCAATATGGCTTGTAAGTGTGAAGTTTCAACCAGCAAAATTTGTACAGATACCTAGGCGGTAATAAAATTGATGTAATTTTCACTATGCATCAGTTTCATGTGCACAGGTGTTTTATGCAATACGATTATTCTGCATAGAAGGACATGAAAAAAGCTAATTTTCCTATAAAATAGAATATTTCGTAATTTTGTTTTGAAGCAAATGAATTATAATTTATATAATTTGCATCATTCCTCAAAAGAGATTTGAATCCTAAAGGCTTGCACCATAGCGTGATTATGAATACTATAATTTTTGGCATGGTCACAGAGCATCATGACGCTTATATTTTCGCAGTTCAGCGAAAATTAGCCACCTGTTTTATGGCTCTTTGACCCGGGATCCACTGAGGCAAGTTTGTTATTTTAAGAAATTAAGCTGATAAAAAAGTTTTGCGCCATACTCTGAAGTGAACTGGGCACTTCCAGTGAAGAGCTGAGTTACAACTACTGCAATTTGCTTAACCCTTTCACCGGAATACCGAATTTATCCATGTCTGTGACATTCATGTCCAAATTCCATATTACATTGTATCACAGGAATTAACAGTTTCGTTGGAAACCCTTTCCATAAGATTTATTGTTACTCTCGGACTCGTCATAATCTGTTGGTAGGCAAACTGACATCAGCCTTTTTAACCTGTCACTGGTATCAGCTTAACTTATTGTCTGACACCGCCTATTTACAAAGGCCATAATGTCTAACACTGTAACAAACATTGCAATCGGTGAACGTTACAGTTGATCTTCATAGTGGAATCTAGTCTTTAACAGTTGATCATAGATTTCCATTGGATTTGGAGGGAAGGTGATATTAATTTGAGTATGGTATCCTACAATTTG